GCTGATTACTTTTGCTTAAGCTCATTTTAAAATTGTTTTAAATTCCTTTAGTGTGACAGCCTAGGAAAGCTGGGTAGGGGGTGGGCCTCGGGGGCTCAGAGGTGGAGGCCCATTCTCCCACGTCTGAGCCGCCTGGCGCAGTGCTCGCGGGAGGGCAGGCTGGCGGCAGCTTTATACAGAACAATTTGGCCAGCTATTTTTTAAAGTCTTAAAAATATGCTTACTCTTTGATTCAGTAATTCTACTTCTAGGAATTTGTCCTAAGGAAATAATCAAACAAGCATGCAGAAATGTCGAGACAAGGGTATTTACCACCACATTTATATCGGCAGAAAAAGTCAAACTAGCTGAAAACAGTGAATAATATGAACTCAGTGAAGTAAAGCTTGCTGTTTTCTCTACTTGTGGTCAAAGTTACAGACTAACTGTGTTTGCCACCTCCTTCTAAGTGAAGGAGCATGGACACTGCGCACAGGCAGATGGGCAGGTGGGTAGGTTGGTTATTAGGTATCTAATAATTTTTTGCAACAATCTTTTGTACTTTTTTGTGTTTTTCAAGTTTTCTGCTTGAATATGTATTACTTTGTAATTAGAAAAAACAACTATGAGGCTAGTAAATGGCTTGGTGGTTAAGGCGCTGGACTCCCACATGGCTGACCACAGTTCAAGTCCCAGATGTGGTGGCTTGTTTTCTCACTTGCCCTTTCTCTCTCTTTCTGTCTCCCTCTGATCAAATTAAAAAAATAATAATATTAACAAAATTGAATACATCTTTTTTAAAAAAAAGAAAGAAAAAGCAACTTTTAAGAGTTTGGTTTTTTAAAATAATTTTTTCCCTTTTTTTTTTTTTTGAGAGGTTTTTGCTATAGGGCACGTATGCTCACCAGAAAGACAGAGATAGAAAGCGAGAAATCACCCCCCAGGGGGGATGGCCATGCAGCAATCCCTTCTCCTCCATCCTCCTCTCGGGATCTTGGGCATGCACGCACACGCGCCTGGCATGAGTTTAAGCCACCAGGTCCGGGACTCAAACCACGGTCGGCTACGTGGGAGTTCAGTGACATAGCCATTATGCTAACTGCTCGTCCCCCTTTTTTTAATTTAGTTTTATGTATTATTATTATTTTAAAGAGTTATTTATTTATTTAATTCCATTTGCTATTATTATTTTTTAGTTTGACCAGAGAGAGACAGAGAGAAAGGGAAAATGAGAAAGCAAGCCACCAAGTCCAGGACTAGAACTGTGGTCAGACATGTGGCAATCCAACGCCTTTAACCACCACATCACCTGCCGGCCCCAAAGAGGTTTTGTTTGTTTGTTCGTTTGTTTGTTTTAAGAATTATTTTATTTTTGGGACCAGCAGTTGGCGTAATAGCTGTGTCGCTCCCACTGGCTTTGACCTTGAGCAGGTGGATTCAGTGTCAGAGTCTGTCCTCAGGTAGGAGAGTGGCGCCTTCCCATGTCACCTCTCAGGGCTACTCTTGGTCAACCATAAAAGCCTAGTACCCACGAGACCTCCATAACACCCTGCCTTTGCTTTGTTTCTGACAGTTTCCTTACGCTGCCCCACCTCCCCAAGAACCCGTGAAGACCCTGAGAAGCCTGATCAACATCCGAAAAGACACACTGAGACTCGTCAAGTAAGTTCCAGGGCCCGGGCCAGGCCCCAGAGGCCCTCCTTGGTGGTGGCAGCAGACTCCTCAAGGGGCTCACGAAGCAGTGTCTGCCAGGCCCAGGTCTGCTTTTCCAGGCCCAAAGCGTGAGCTCCCAGCACCTCTCGTGGCCTAGATTAGGCCTCTGCACTCCGCATTATTGAGTACTCCACGCAGTATCCTGTGAAGAACTTTCCCCTGCCTGGAGTGGTCATTTTATTGTTATTTTATGGAGTTTTTATTTTATTTATTTTTTTGGAGAGGTTTTTTGCTATAGGGCACATGCGCTCGCCAGAAGGACAGAGAGAGACAGAAAGCAAGAAATCACCCCCGAGGGGGGATGGCAAAGCCGCAATCCCTTCTCCTCCATTCTTCTCTCGGGATCTTGGGCACGCACGCACACGTGCCTGGCACGAGTTTAAGCCACTGGGTCCAGGAGTGAAACCGCGGTCAACTACTTGGGAGTCCAGTAACATAGCCATTACACCAACTGCTGGTCCCTGGAGTTTTTAAATTTTATTTAATTATGTTTTAAAATTTTATTTATTTTTGCCCTTACTGGAGAGAGATAAAGAGAGACAGTGAGAGTGAAAATGAGAAATCATCTTCCAGGGAAGATGGCCATGTCACAATCCCGTTCCTCTGTTTTTCTCCTGGGATGTTGGGCACACATGCACATGTGTCCAGTGTGATTTTCAAGCCTCCACGTCCAGGACATGAACCGTGGTCAGTCACATGGGCATCCAGAACCTTACCCACTATGCTACCTCCTGGCTCTGGAGTTTTATTAATAGGAAGAAGTATTGAAGGAAAGGGAGAATTTTGCAGATAACCCCAACAAGTCTATGTTAAAATGGGATATTTAACTTGAAATGTGCACTACTTATTTTATTGCTTGTAAGTTACTTTTTATCCCCAATCTCATATGTCTTTCCTGTAAGAAATTCATAGTACGTGGTTGGCTCTTTCATTCTTTTTTTTTTTTTTAGAGATTTTTGATATAGGACATGTGCGCTTGCCAGAGAGATGGAGACAGGAAGTGAGAAACCACCCCCTCCAGGGGGAAGAGCCACACCACAGTCCCTTTTCCTCCTTTCTCCTCTCACGCATGCACACATGCCCAGCGTGAGTTTCAAACCGCCAGATCCAGGACCCAAACCACGGTAGGTCATGTGGGCATCCAGAGCCTTAACCACTATGCCACCTACTGGGGTGTTTCATTCTTTTTTTTTCTTTCCTGGAGAGATTTTTGCTATAAGGGGCGTGCACTTGTGCGAGATAGAAAGCGAGAAATCACCCCCCGGGGGATGGCCATGCCGCAATTCCTTCTCCTTGTTGTCCTCTCAGGATCTTGGGCTCACATGCACACACCCAGTGTGAGTTTTAAGCCATCAGGTCGGGAACTCGAACCACAGTCCACTATGCGAGAGTCCAGTGATGTAACCATTACGTCATTTGCTACTCCTGGGTGTTTCATTCTTATGTCAATATTAATTCCCATCGAGCTGGCCCTGTGGTCTAATGGTTAAGGGAGCTGAATCCCACATGACTGACCATACCGTTTGAGTCTCAACCCTGGTGGCATGAAAAACATACCAGAGGGATAGCCAGTGGCATAATGGTTAAGGCAGCTAGATCCCACATGGCCAATTTCATGGTTTGAGTCCCAGAACTGGTGGCTTGGAAAATGCACAGGTGCGTGTGCATGCATGCCCAAAATTCAGAGAAGAGAAGAGAGGAGGAAGATCGTAGCATGGCCACCCCTGGTCAGGGAGCAGGGAGATTTCTCACTTTTCCTCTCTCTGTCTCTCTCTGGCCAGTGTACGTGCCCTATTGCAGACATAAACAATGAAAAAGAAAAACATGCCAGACACATATATGCAGGCCCCAAATGCTGACATGATGGAGAAATGGAAAAGAAGGGATTGCGATGTGACCACGACCCATTGAGGGGATGCTTCTCCCTCACCTTCTGTCTCTCTGCCTCTCTCTAACAAGCACGTGCATCCTCTGACAGTTACATCAGCATCTGTTATCTCTACATTTGCCTCTTGTTTTTAGTTTTTGCCATAAGGCACATGCACTTGCCTAAGAAAGACAGGGGGGTAGTGAAAAAGCACCTCCTTGGGAGATGGCCAGACCACATTCCTTCTCCTCCTTTCTCCTTTATGGACCTTGGACACATGTTCATGCACCTGGCCTGATTTTCAAGTCACTGGGTCCAGGACTCAAACTGTGGTCGTCCAGGTAGGAATCCAGCACCTTAACTACCACACCATCTGCTGGTCCCCCAACATTTGCCTTCTGTGCCATCCCTGAAGTGATGTCTTTTTTTTTTTTTGAGAGAGAGATTTTTGCTATAAGGCATGTGCACTTGCCAGAGAGACAGAGAAAGACAAAGAGACAGAAAGTGAGAAATCACCCCCCGGCCCGGGGAGATGGCCACTATGCAGTCCCTTCTCCATTCTCTTCTTGAGATTTTGGGCACACATATACATGTGCCCAGCATGAGTTTTAAGTTGTCGGATCTGGGACTCAAACCATGGCTGACTACGTGGAAGTCTAATGATGTAACCATTATGCCATCTGCTGGCCCCAGTCATTCTTAACCTCATGCTTCCCCACCATGGTCTACCTGCCTGCCCCTGCCTCTCACAGTATTTATACTAAGGCATTCCAGGTCCCCAGGGAGTCGAATCCAGTTAGGGCAAATCAGCTCATACTCTGAGTGGCCTTACTGCATTAGGAAGTTTCTTTCAGCTCTTTGAAAAATAGCCTTGCTTTTTTGAGATACAATTCACCATACAACTCTCTTGCCAGAGAGACAAAAAGCGAGAAATCATCCCCCCGGGGGATGACCATGCCTCAGTCCCTTCCGTCTCCTTTCAGGATCTTGGGCACTCACGCACACGTGCCCAGTGTGAATTTTAAGCCGCTGGGCCAGTACTCGAATTGCAGTCGACTACATCGGAGTCCAGCGATGTAACCACTATGCCATCTGCTGGTCCCTCTCTGTCTTACTTTTTGATATGTTATTTGTTCCTGAAGTTTTCTGCTTCCATAGCTATATGCCCACTCAACCTCTCAGGACAAAGGGACCAAGGAGACACCTGCCGCAGAGCAGCCCCCTCCCCAAGGAACCCCTGCAACAGCTGAGCAGGCCAATCAGTGGCCTCAGACCCTGCCCACTGGCAGTGAGGCCGCCCACCTGGCTTCTCAGTCACACACAGCATTTTCACATGGCGGAGATGGGGTTCCAGGGCCCGAGATGTCGCGAGAGCCTGGCCCCGGTGTGCAAGGTGGCCACAGCTCCAGGACAGAGAAATGACTGGAACGTGCCAGAAGAGCCAGACTCGGGAGCAACGACTAGCTTGCTTCCCAGCTGCATGGGTGTCAGCCAAAGGTCTCTCTGAGCTTCAGCTTCTCATTTGTAAAACAGTGATCCACCATCCACAGTCTCGCCTCTCGTTACCAAAATTCAGTGCGATCACGAGGGAAGACACCTGATGTTCAGTAAGTAATAGGGTGAGGCCAGCAGGTAGCATAGCGGGGACGTCGCTGGACTCCTGCACTGCCGACCACGATTTAAGTTCTGGGCCCAGTGGCTTGAAACTCACGCCAGGCACTTGTGCATCCGTGCCTAAGATCCTGGGAGGAAATGGAGGAGAAGGAATTGCAGCATGGCCATCCCCCGGGGGGTGATTCCTCACTTTCCTTCTCACTTTCTCTGCCTCTTTCTCCAGCAAATGCGTGTGCCCTAAGACAAAAACCTCTAAAAAATATATATAAGGCAAAGGCTGTTTTTCTCAGGTTATGGGAATAGAATAAATTCTGATTCTCAGATTTACAGATAAAGATGGAGGATTGACCATCTGCTTTTGCTGCCTCTTAAACCCCACTAAATAATAATAAAAGTTTTTTTTTTTTAGGTATAAAAATCCACAGGGACCAGCACATGGTGTAATGGCTACATCGCTGGACTCCCACATGGTTGACTGTGGGTTGAGTCCCGGACCCAGTGGCTTCAAGCGCATACCAGGCACGTGTTCACGAGCGTGCCAAAAATCTCGAGAGAATAGACAAGGGATTGCAGTGCGGCCATCCCTCCAGGGGGTGATTTCTCCCTTTCTGTCTTTCTCTCTCTCTGTCTTCCTGGCAAGTCTTCCTGCACATGCCCCCTAATAGCAAAAATCTCTACAACAACAACAACAAGTATACACACACGAGAGTGGGAGAGTGGGAATGGAGCAACAGCAACAGCATCTCAGAAGCTGGACACCGGTGGTGACCGCGTAGTGGTAGACTCGAAAGTCAGGCCCTGAGTTTGAAGGAAAAGCTCGGATCCTAATGGTTTATACTGAGACAGCTCAGCCTTGGCAGCTGGGCAGCATGGGCAGCAGAGGTGAAGGCTGGAAGAAGGTGCTGGCAGAGCTTCCGCTTGAGGGAGCGTCAGATCCTGCCCTCACCCAGCACTCCAGAACTGGCCTCCCACACCCTGGTGAGGGTCGGGCAGGTGACTGTCCCTGAAGGGAATAAACAGTCTCTGGACTTGGGGGCCCAGGCACAGTAAGGGCCAGACTTAGCACTGAAAACAGCACCCTCAACCAACACACCACCTGCCAGCCCCCCCGCCACCATGTCTTTTAAGAAGTATTTATAACCTAGAACTCCTTGCTTAAGCAAACTTTCAATCAAGTGCGTGTGGGGTAAAAAAAATCTCTCAAAAAGTGTATCCCCCAACACACCATTTCCAGGAAGCTAGTGGAAGACGCCCTCCTCTACAGGGACAGTCCTCCAGGAAAGAGGAAGACGGGGGTACTGGAAACAGGAGCTTCTCCGGGACAGAGGCCAAAGGGCCCTGCCAGGGTGATGTGGAGCGAGTCCAGGATGTGGAGCGAGTCCAGGATGGCATGGGGGTGCCCAGTACGGGAGCCCAAGGTTCCAGAATGCCCTGGCCAGGGGGCTCAGGGGGACCTCCTCAAGAAGACAGCATGAGTAGTCCACCTGGTACTCCTAGGGAACGCTTCTAGGGACTTTGACAGCCCATGAGAATTTGGGTTGGAATTTGCTATCAGAACATAGAAAACTGAGCAACTTAAAAAAAGAAAAAAGAAAAAAAACCTGAGATGAGCACCAATTCTAATGGAAAGTTGTACAGGAAAAGAAAACGGTCCCAGAGCTTGCCGTAGCTACCCTGAGGGAATGTCTGTGTGGTCACAGGAATGCGACCCTAATGTGCCGTACTGAACCAGGAAAATGTGATGCGCTGCGTGGGCGGCGAGTTCCATTGTGGGGAAGAAAGAGGAAAGAAAAGGCAGCCCTCACGTCCATGGCAGGACACCAGCCGAGAGGACCTGCACTGGAAAACCACGGAACAGGAACCCGAGCATGTTATTCTGAAGCATGGGGGGAGGGGAAGCTCTGTGGTTAGCCTAGGGGTTAGGGAGATGGACACCCCCCCCTGCTCCCCATGTGTCTGGCTGTGCAGTTCAGATCCTGGACCCGTGTCTATGTGTGTATCTCAAACCCTGACAGGTGGAGCAATGGAGGAGAGGGATTGTGGTGTGACCTTACCTCTCTGAGAGGTACTTCCTCCCTCTCCTATTCTCTCTCTCTCCGTCTCTCTCTGGCAAGTGCACATGCCCTCTGGCAAATTTTAAAAAATAATAATACAAACAGGGTAAATGCCAAACATTCAGCTACGAGAGGTAAGAGAAGGAAAGGAAGGAGCAAGGCCTGCTGTGTCAGGAACAGACTTTATGGACACTATTTAGGCTACGTGGTTAATAGTTCTGGTAAAAGAAAAAGCCTGGCGGGCCAGTCAGTGGCATGGTGGTTGGGTGACTAAATCTCTTGAGACTCGAGCCCCAAACCCGGTAGTTGAGAGGCATGCTGGGCACATGTGCATGCATGCCTGGGCCCGAAAGCAGAAAATGGAGAAGGCTATCCTCCATGGTGGGGGTGGTTTCTCACTTTCCTCTCTCTGTCTGTTTCTGGCAAGTGTACACACTCTCTAGAAAATACAAAAAAAAAAAGAGAGAGAAAGAGAAGAGAAAGAGGAAAAATAAACCTTTCCAAAAAATAAAAAGCCTGGCAAGCATGCAGGGATGCGCATTGCAGCACTGTAAGATACAGAAGGTACCCGTTTGTGCTAGTAACCAAGTGCTCGTGATCATTCAGTCTGTTTGTGATCACAAGAAGAGACTCCAGTATATTGTTAAACAAACAAACAAAGAAGATAATTTTTTTAAGATATTTTTGTTAAAGGGATCATGCACTTGCCAGAGAGAAAGAGAAAGACAGAGAGACCGAAAGAGAAATCACCTCCCAAGGAGGATGGCCACGCCGCAATCCTTGCTCCGATCTCCTCTCAGGATCTTGGACACACATGCACATGCGTCCGGTGTGAGTTTGAAGCCACCAAGTCTGGGACTCGAACCATGGTTAACTACATGAGAGTCCACTACGCCATCTGCTGGTCCCAACAAGATACATTTTTAAAAGATGGCTCTGCTGGCGCCCCGGTGCTGAGTCTCTGACTTCACAGGTGTGCTGAGGAGGTGAAGAGCCCCGGAGAGGAGGCCAGCAAGGCCAAAGTCCACTACAATGTCGAGTTCACCTTTGACACGGATGCCCGGGTAGCCATCACCCTCTATTATCAGGCCACGGAAGAGTTCCAGAATGGAATTGCCAGGTAAGAGCATGGGCGTGGTGGGCCGCTGCCTCCCTGCTCACCTATGGAGGAAAACATCCTTTTCTTACAACCAAGTGAGATCTGGTCTCTGAATTTATGTTTTCTTCTACAAATTCTGATTCTTTCACCTTTTCCTTTCGAATTACGGCATCACAGTACAGTGGCAGGTGATATGTAGCCCTTCGGGGCCTTAAGATGCTGCCACAGGGGCCAGCAGGTGGCGTCGCAATGCGTCGCTGAACTCCCACATGGCAGACAGCGGTTTAAGTCCCGACCCGGTGACTTGAAACTCATGCCAGGTGCATGTGCGTGTGTGTCCAAGCTCCTGGGAAGAGAAGGTATTGCAGCGTGGCCATCCCCCGGGGGAGTGATTTCTCAGTTTCCCTCTCTCTGTCTCTTTCCAGTGAGCGCACACACCCTGAGACAGAAAGCCCTACCAAAAAAAAAAGTGGTAGAAATCTGTGAGGCTGCCTTTCTGTGTGAGTGAATAAGTTTAAGAACATTGCCAAGCAAGAGCATAAGAAGTGGATTATAAAGGAGGCTTCTCTTAACTTTTTTTTTTTTTTTTTTTGGAGAGGTTTTTGCCATAGGGCACGTGCGCTTGCCAGACAGATAGAGAGAGACAGACAGAAAGTGAGAAATCACCCCCCAGGGGGGATGGTCACGCCACAATCCCTTCTCCTCCATTCTCCTCTCGGGATCTTGGGCACGCACACACATGTGCCCGGCGTGAGTTTTAAGCCACCGGGTCCAGGATGCGAACCGCGGTCAACTACGTGGGGGTCCAGCGACATAGCCATTACGCTAACTGCTGGTTCCCCTATCTTTTTAATCTGTTACAGTGTAGTGTGGTCGCTGGAAAGAGACAGAGAGGGAGAGAGGGGAAGTGAGAAAGCATCCCCGGTGAAGGTGGGCGAGGGAGGTTACACCACAACCCCTTCTCCTCTGTACTCCTCTCAGGACTTTGGGATGCATGTACACACACCCAGGGCCCAGAACTTGAACCGTGCAGTCGGCCATGTGGGATCCAGCAGCCGCCACCATCACACCACCACCTGGTCTGGCCTTTCTTTCATGCAAGAACCTGTAACTGAGAGCAGGCATGACACAGAGGGAATTGTCCACACGCCTGGCTAGACTGACTCTGCTTCCCGCTCTGAACAGTTATATCCCGAAGGACAGCAGCCTACAGTCAGAGACCGTGCACTACAAGCGAGGGGTGTGCCAGCAGTTCTGCCTGCCCTCCCACACCGTGGACCCCTCCGAATGGGCCGAAGAGGAGGTGAGGGCTCCTTGTGGGGTCTCAGAGGGCCAGGGAGCCGCGTGGGCCCCAGGTCAGCAGCAGAGGGGCCTCTCACCATGCAGCCTCGCGGGTTCTTCACCTGTGATAGTTCTGCTTGTCTCACATCAGGGTCTCCCTAACCGTGGTGAATTCCTATTCCCAAGTAGCCCGTTAACCTAGGATATTTCGAGAAAGCCACTTGCAAGGAAAAGGCCCTGCAGGGTAGCGGTTCCGTCTGAGATTTATGAAACAGAAACAACTGGCCTTTGGCTAACCAGCTGGGGAATTGGAGGCTGCTGGATGCAGAGCAGAGAGAAGGTTCATGCTCCCCCAGCCCCTCCCTGCTGGACTTCCTGCCAAGCAGGGGCATGCTGAGTGGCTGTTGTTTATGTTGTTTCTCTTTCCTTCTCTCCAGCTTGGCTTTGACCTGGACCGAGAGGTTTACCCCTTAGTGGTGCATGCCGTGGTGGACGAAGGCGATGGTAGGGTGACTCCGTCTATTTTGGCCGTGTACTCCCTGTTTTGTGGCCTAGTCCTGGCAGAGCCCTGGCCCCGGAACACCACACCTTCCATGTCGCCTCGGGTGGGCCCTTCTGCATCCTCTCGTATCTGTGCTCCCAAGCCATTGGGGCTGATGTGAAGTCCTGGGTTACATGCGGGGACTTCAGAAAGTTTGTGGAAAAATGGAACTAAAAGACAAGTTGATTTTCATGCAAAAAAAAGGGTTGAAATCCACGTGTCCTTTCTTAGTGTATACCTCCTGTGAGCTCTGTTAAAGGTCGTTGCCCCGCCCCGCCCCGCCCCACCATGGTGACAGCCCAGCACTTGTTTGCCAGACTGCAGGGCACCGGCAGGGTAGTGGCACCAAGGCGTGTTGTCTGGCGCTGTCTTCCATCCATGCGCCTTTGTCTCTTTCAGAGTATTTTGGCCACTGCCATGTACTGCTGGGGACTTTTGAGAAGGTAGGTAACTTGAGCAGCCTCACTTTCCCAGGATGGCCTTCCTTCAGGCAGGGGCCGCTGTAGCCATGTTTGCCAGGCCTGAGCCAGCGGGGAGATGTGGCCAGAGGGGCTGAGCTGGTGTCACAGGAGCCCCGTGCTGGGAGCCTGTCTGGGGTCTAGCTGCATCTTGGCCACCAGCTCACTGTGTGACTTCAGTTCCTGAAACCTCAATCTCCCCTCTCTCTCTTCTTTTTTCTTTTTGAGAGAGATTTTTGCTGTAGGGCCCATGCACTTGCCATAGAGGCAGAGAGGCAGATAGACAAAGTGAGAAATCATCCCCTGGGGGGCTGGCCACACCACAATTCCTTCTCCTCCATTCTCGTCTTGGGATTTTGGGCACTCACACACATGTGCCCATTGTAAGTTTCAAGCCACTGGGTTCCAGATTCAAGCTGCAGTTGACTACCTGGGAATCCAGTACCTTAACCACTACACCACCTGCTGGCCCCAGTCTCCTCTTAAAATGAGAGGGCTAGACTGGGTGATTGTAAGAACCTCGCAGCATTAGAACTCTCAGTACCTCTCTGCGAGCGCCTGAGAACGTGGAGGGTGGAGAGGTGACGGAAAGACAGCCGGCCTCCTCGCCATAACCACTGCATCTCCGTTCCAGCACACGGACGGGACTTTCTGTGTCAAGCCCCTCAAACAGAAGCAAGTAGTAAGTATCTGAGAGCCTGGGGCTGGGGCTGGTCCTTTTCTCCTCCCTTCTCTTCTGTCCTTACTCTTTTGCCAGTATTCCTTTTCCTCCCTCTTTTCTTTTTACAATCAAAGAAGGAGAGAAAAAAAGGGGGGGGGGTGCTTTTGTGTGTCAGAAGCGACTTGGGTGGCCTGAAAAGAATACTGCTTTGGGGTGTCTTTATTGTTCCAGAGTTGTTGGCCTTGAGGCAGCCTTTATCTGCACAGAGGACTTGAGTAATGAAAGGACAAGATTTGTCTCCTGACATTAGGTTTAGGGAGAACTCTTTTGATTTCAAATGCCAGGGTGAGAAAACTTTCAAGCAGAAGGACCAAGTATTGGAGACCAATTCAGGGTCATTTAGAGACCTTGGCTTAATTTATCCCGCCATTCCTCTCCTGTCCTGTCCTGTCCTGTCCTCTCCTCTCTTCTCCTTTCCCCCACTTTTTAAAAGACATTGTCTCACTCTGCTGCGGTCCCCCTGCCTCAGCCTCCCGAGTAGCTGGGACCGCCACGCCTGCCTTCCGTGGGCGTGGGCATCACATCTGGCTGCCCCATGACCTCAGCCTGCTGAGAGCAGTGTCTTCCCAGCAGTGCCATCACAGCTAGGCCTCATGATTAAGATAAATCATCTTTTTTTTTGGAGAGGTTTTTGCTATAGGGTGCGTATGGTCACCAGAAAGACAGAGAGAGATAGAAAGTGAGAAATCACCCACAGGGGGGATGGCCACGCCGCAATCCCTTCTCCTCCATTCTCCTCTCGGGATCTTGGGCACACATGCACACGCACCCAGTGTGTGTTTAAGCCACCAGGTCTAGGATTCGAACCATGGTCAAGTACATGGGAGTTCAGTGACATAGCCATTACGCCAACTGCTGATCCCAGAATAAATCATGTTTTTTTTAGAGAGGTTTTTTTGCTATAGGGCGCGTGCGCTTGCCAGACAGAGAGAGAGAGACAGAAAGCGAGAAATCACCCCCCAGGGGAGATGGTCACACCGCAATCCCTTCTCCTCCATTCTCCTCTCGGGATCTTGGGCACACACGCACACGCGCCCGGCGTGAGTTTTAAGCCACCAGGTCCGGGATGCGAACCACGATCGACTATGTGGGAGTCCAGAAACATAGCCATTACGCTAACTGCTGGTTCCCTATCTTTTTTTTTTTAAGAGAGAGATTTTTGCTATAGGGCATGCGTGCTTGCTAGAGAGACAGACAGAAAGCAGAAAGTCACCCACCCCCAGGGGGGATGGCCATGCCACAATCCCTTCTCTCTTCCTTCCTTCCACAATCCCTTCTGTCTTCCATTCTCCTCTCAGGATTTTAAGCACACATGCACAAGTGCCTGGTGTGAGTTTAAAGCTGCTGGGTTCAGGACTTAAACCGTAGTCAACCATGTGGGAGTCCAGTGATGTAACCATTATGCCACCTGCTGGTCCCCACGATTCCTTTTCTATTATTTATTTATTTATTTATTTCAGGAGATTTTTGCTATAGGATATGTGCGCTTGCCAGAGAGACAGAGAGAATGAAAGTGAGAAATCACCCCCAGAGGAAGTGGCCATGCTGTAGCCCACCCAGGATTTTGGACACACACACACGTGCAGTGTGAATTTTAAGCTACCAGGTTAGAACTCAAAACTGCAATCAACTGCATGGGAGTCCAGCAACGAAACCATTATGCGGTTTGCTGGTTCCCCCTTCATTTCTTTTCTGAGTTCAAAGTTTGCTGGCCATCCTCCCCCATCCAGATGATTAGCAAGTCATAGGCCTGCTAGAAGGCCTAACCCCCACCACAAGCTGCCACTTTTCCTTTTTAGGAGGAGGTGTCACTGAGGGTAACAGGAGAGAGTGAGTGGTGTCCCTGTATTTTTTGTGTTAAATACTCCTCTCTTTTTTAGGTTTTTGCCTAAGGGAGTGTGTGCTCCCTGGACAGAGACAGAGGGAGACGGTGAGAGGGAAAGTGAGAAATCATCCCCCAGGAGGGATGACCAAGTGGCAATCCCTTGCCTGTGTGACTTTCAAACCACCAGGTCTGGAACTTGAACCAAGGTTGGCCATGCAGGATCCAGTGCCTTAACCACCACACCACCTGCTGGCCCTACTCCTCCCTCTTTCAGTGAGGTCAATATAATCAAGAATACCTTAGTATACATTAGTTTATAACTGCAAGCTGAAAGCAAGTTTTATGAGAGGCAGAGGAGAGGCTGGCAAATGGCATAATGGTTACGTCGCTAGACTCCCCCTCAGTAGACTGCGGCTCAAGCCCTGCACCCAGCAGCTCAAAACTCATGCCGGGCATGTATGTGTGTGTGTCCAAAATCCCGAGAGGAGAATGGAAGAAAAGGGATTGCGGCATAGACACCCCCCGTGGTGGGTGATTTCTCACTATCTGCCTCTCTGGTGAGAAAAATCTTTCTCAAAAAAAAAAAAAAATTAAAAAAGAGGCAGAGAAGGAAACAGACCTGAGCCTGGGGCGCTACCTAGGCAGGCCGGGCCTTGGTGAGTTGCCTCATGGGAAAGGCCTAGCTCTCCAGGCCGCAACAGGAAGGAAAGGCTGTGGAAGGTAAGGGAAGCTGCTGTGCCTTCTCCTGTTCCTACATTGGCACTAGCAGCAGACTGTCAAACTGGAGAGAGGATATGAAATCAGAGACAGGCCAGATCTTCCAGGAGGGTCACTGAGAAGGGAGGTGGGGCAGAGAGAGTGGGAGCAAGGGAAAGGCCAGTTTAGGCCTGATGGGGCCCACAGTGGCGGGAGCGAGGCTGGGCTATGAGGCTGAGAGGGGGCATTTGGGTGCATGTGGGTGATTGGCTTCATGGTGGGGGGTGGGCACACCACTGGCCTCTCCATCAAGGTTTTACAAGCTCCCTTTGCATCTATGTTTTCCCTCCTCTTTTTCCTTTGCCCCTCCTTTTCTCCCTCCCATTCTTGCTCTTTTCTTTATTCGTTTTGCTGTAGGGCTAGGGGGATGGCCATGCTGCAATCCCTTCTCCTCCACTCTCCTCTCAGGACTTTGGGCACACACGCACCCCCATGATTTTCAAGCCGCAAGCTGAAAGCAAGTTTTATGAGAGGCAGAGGAGAGGCTGGCAAATGGCATATTTGCTATGTGGGATCCAGCACCTTAACTTCCACACCACCTGCTGGCTTACCTTCCGCTTTTCTAGTCCTTTGTTTTGGTGACATCTGTGTCTAAACTGTGTAACGGAGCCAGGGCTTACACTCTGACACACCCATCCGTCTTCCCTCTAGTCCACATCTTGCTTGGCGTCCGTGACAGTGAGCTGCCACGAGCTGATGTTTGTGGCATCTGTGGAACTTTACGTTCCCTGTAGGTGATGGCGGTGGGCAAATTAAACCTTGCATTTTCTTTTCTTCCTCAAAGAAAACGTAAGTTATAAAAGCACCCTTACTTGTCTGGGCCTTTGATTTTTCCCACTGTGACCCAGTAGTCCTGGGTTACCGAAGGAGGGGCTGGGGGCTCGTCTCTTTGTCTGGCTGAGGCTGCCAGGCCTTGAGCCTCTTCATTTGCCTCTCAGGTGGACGGGGTCAGCTACCTGCTCCAGGAGATCTATGGGATCGAGAACAAGTACAACACGCAAGACTCCAAGGTAAGTTTTTTCCCAAACTCTGAACGTACTCTTCTCGGGGGGCAGAGGGAGGAAGTCCCTGTACAGCCGGGACCTGGGAATTTAGTGTTTGGTCCACTGGGTCCTGGAAGGGCAACGTCCTGGTCTCATTTCGGATTATGACGACTACAGCTTCAGAAATGAGAACTGAGGCTGCCTCGGGTTCTTTCTGCTGCTGTGGAGCACTGTCTAGTCGGTTTTGCTTCAGGGTCCTTTCACGGCCCTTTCACCTGTACCTGTGTCATCTCTCAGCCCCTGCAGCTCAGACTGTCAGGGAGGACCAGATCTGAGCCTCATACCATGAGCTGGAGGGGCCAGAACCGCCGCTCTCTCACCAGCTCCCAGAGCAGGGAGCTGAATGCCAGAGCACCGGGCGAGCTGCGCGGTCGGCGGCGATGCAGCATTCGCTCCCGTTACCTGCGTCAGCTCTCAGGCCGCACCACCTTGTAAACGTGTGGGACACGAGGGCTCTGTGTCACTGGCTAAATTTGTGTCTCCCTGGCCAGGTGGCTGAGGACGAAGTGAGCGATAACAGTGCCGAGTGCGTGGTGTGTCTCTCAGATGTCCGGGACACCTTGATTCTGCCCTGCCGCCACCTCTGCCTCTGCAACACCTGTGCTGACACCCTGCGCTACCAGGCCAACAACTGCCCCATCTGCCGCCTGCGTAAGCCCGGGAGGCGGCGGGAGTGAGCCAGGCAGGACACCTGTGCCTCCACTGGGCCTGGCAGCCTGGTGAACGCTGGCTCTTGTTCGTCCTTAATCCTGCATCAGGATGTCCTGATTGCCCATTTTCTTCTTCACAGCCTTCCGGGCACTGCTTCAGATCCGCGCCATGAGAAAAAAACTGGGCCCTCTGTCCCCAGCCAGCTTTAACCCCATCATCTCATCCCAGACCTCTGACTCTGAAGAGCACTCGGTAAGTGTGCTCTGAATCACAAGCGCTTGGAAGCAAATGCTCCCATACGGCCCGCAGGCTTTCCTTTCTCTCATCCTCCTCGCTGTCCCAGACTACACAGGAAGGTCAATAGTGCTTTTTTTTCCCTGAAGGAGAAAGAAGCAAAACATTTAAGGGACCCAAAGTGGAAAGAAATTTGATTGTAATGTATATAGTAATGTCTTTGGCTGGACTGATACTCAGTGTATTCATGATAGGAAAATTCACTTGTTATGCTGTAATGATACACGGTGATTAAATGTAAAATTTTAAAATAAAATAAAATCAAAATCTCCCTTCCCTCCTCAGGGACTCGGTGCCAGGAATACTGGCCACTCCTGGGGCCATCTGCTTATGGTTTCTCTCCAGTGGGGTCCAACTCTGGAACCCTCCAAGCAGAAACAAAGGGATCACTGTTTGGATTTTATTACCATTTAAATTTACTATCTTTATTTGACTCCTCAAAGAAGGGAACTGTTTTTCTCTATCCTGCTTCATGGCTTCAGTGATGGGGAGCAAAGTAGACAAAATAAGTGACCTTGGTTGCCCACTGTCAGCGACAGCGAGGGCAGCACCTCAGCTCTCTGTGTCTCCAGGTCACAGAAGAGCGGATCCATCTTCCTTTAGACTAACCCCCTGCTGGGACAGGGCGAGGACTCAGCACTGAGATGGTTGATTAGTTACTTGGGAAAAAAGTTATTTTAGCACTTTTTTCCATACCATTCTGGATGGAGTGACTAGTTAACTACGTTAAAAGCAAAGCCGCCCAAACAAATCATCGAAAACCTAGAATAAACACTAGGTAGTTATCTGATTGACTTTGGATGGGGGACTCCTTCAACTGAAAGCAACGGAAACTACAAAAACGAATGAATCTGCAGACTTGACCAGACTAAAAAGTTCAACACTTTAGAAGTCCAAAGGTGATCAGAATTAAAAAGCAAACAACAAATTGTTTACAGAAAAAATATTCATAGCATATACATCAGAGGAAAGACTAATATTTTTGCCATAGCTAATGTAAGTAAACAGTAGATCAATGGGTAAAAAATGTAAGCAAAAAAAGGGCGGGGGGAGAAGAGCTGGCTAACAATTTTTTTTAAGTCAGCCACATTAAAAATCAACAATATATAAGTTAGGGAGATACCATTTTTCACTTTTCACATTTAAAACCTTTCCTTTTAAAAGATATTCCATACTTGGGACCAGCAGGTGGTGTAGTGGTTAAGGCGTTGGATGCCCACATGACCGACTGCAATTTGAGTCCCAGATCAAGTCATTTAAGATTCACGCTGGGTGTGTGTGCCCAAAATCCCAGAAAGAGAATGAAGAAGGGATTGTGGCATGGCCATCCCGCCTTGAGGGGTGATTTCTCACTTTCCTTCTCCCTGTCTCGCTCTGGCAAAATGCATGCACCCTATGGCCAAAACCTAAAAACAAAACAAAACAAAACAAAACAAAAAAACACACACACAGAAAATAGATACTCCTTGCTCCCCCAACGACCCCCCTCACTGCCAGCAGAAATAAAACATTTGTTTCAGTGCAGAGCAAGAAACATGATTATCCTGTAAATGAAAGTACTTAATTTGCTTAAGTACCGATTGATAGAGAAACAATCAAAATAGGCATCTTAGAGCTTATAGGGGTGTACTTAAACAAAATCACTGAAAAAAACAAGTAAGTGTAAATAAGAAGAGCGTAGAAAACATTTATACCTAGGGGTCGGCCCAGTGGCTAGGTGGTAAGGGAACTGAACCCCACATGGCCACCTGCGTGGTTTTAATCCCACACTCCCTACAGGAGAAATGGAGGAGAGTGGTTGGAGATGACCCTACCCCACCGGGGTGCTTCCTCTCTGCGTTGCTCTTGCTCTCTCTCCCTTTTTGTAACCCTCTGATGGGCATATGCACCCTCTGGCAAAAAAAAAAAAAAAAAAGAAAAGACATTTTTACCTCGTAATTTAAGCCCTAAAACACCTAAAACATAATACCAAGGAAATAACCTCAAAAAGACTTACATACGTTCTTGAAAACATTGTTTACAGTAGAGCATGTCATATACAACTAAATGCTTATCCCCCACTGAACAGTTAGGAAACAGGATGTCTATCTATGAAAAGGACATGAACAGAAATATGTTTATGTTTGGCTAAATAAACAGGGTATAAAATTGTTATTTACAGATTGATCATCACTGAGTAAACAGTATAAAGAAACAAAACTAGAAGGACCCAGTGGCTTGAAACTTGCCGGGCGCATGTGCATGTGTGCCTAAAATCCAGAGAGAAAAATGAAGGAGAAGGGCTTGTGGCATGGCCATTCCCCCTAAGGAGTGATTTCTTTCTTTCTGTCTCTGTTTTGGCAAGCACACGTGCCCTATCGCAAATTATCTCTCAAAGAAGAAGAAGAAAATACACGAGAATGCTAATTTCTTTGTGTGATTTGATTACCAATTTTTAAAGGATTATTTATTTAATCTGTTATTATATTTTAATTTGACCAGAGAGAAAGCAAACTGCCACGTCCGGGACTCAAACTGTGGTCGTCCCTGTGGGAGTCCAGTACCTTAACCACCATGCCACCTGCCAGCCTCTTTAATACTATTTTTTTCTTACTTATACTTTTATGCATTTTTTCACAATTTCCTGTAATGAATATATATTTCTATTATCATCAGAAAAAGCAGACATGACAGAAAAGTCCACCTGTAGGCAGGATCCAGGAATGTAGGGTCCTCTCTGCCCCTAGGACGGCAGCTTCTCATGCCAGACACCCCCTGCCCAGCCTCCACCCCCAGCAGACATAAAGCATTTATTTCAGTATAGAGCAAGAATCACGATCACTCCCTAAACTAAAGTACTTAGTTTTTCCCTGTCTCTGATTCCCTAGTCCTCAGAGAATATTCCACCGGGTTATGAAGTTGTGTCTCTTCTGGAGGCCCTCAATGGGCCCCTCACCCCCTCCCCAGCGGTCCCTCCACTTCACGTGCTGGGAGACGGCCACCTCTCAGGAATGCTGCCCTCCTATGGCAGCGACGGCCACCTGCCCCCTACCAGGATGCTCTCCCCTCTCGACCGTGCCTCTGACTGCGGCAGCCAAGGACTGAAGCTCAAGAAGAGTCTCTCCAAGTGAGTGGCCACACCACCCTTGCCCTCAGACCCCTCAGAGGCTTCCAGCCCTGTCTCGGCCCTGGGACTTCTGCTCCCACAGCTGCTCGGTCTCACAAAGACCCGAGGGGAACCCCAGGGGACTTCTTTCAGAGTGGGAAGGGAGGCCCTGACTGTGCAGCTCACGTGTCTCGTGGGGGGCCGGGTGGGGTGTAGGGAGAGGACATTGAGCACCCGCACAGGGCCACCAGCCTGCGGGTGCACTGCTCAGTCCAAAGATGGGAGGAGCCTCGAGATCTGTATCCCTCAAACTTTTCAATCCAGCATGGCACCAACCATGCCATGGTGTCGATGGCAGAGCAGAGGAGGGGGTTTCACAGGACAAAGTATCAAGACTAGATATATGGGGACCAGCAGCTGGCGTAATGGCTATGTCACTGGACTCCCATGTAGTCAATCGCGGTTCGAGTCCCGGACCCAGTGGCTTAAACTCACGCTGGGCATGTGTGTGTGTGTGTGCCCAAGATCCCAAGAGGAGAATGGAGGAGAAGGGATTGTAGTGTGGCCATCCCCCCTGGGGGATGATTTCTCTCTGTCTCTCTGTCTTTCTGGCCAGAGCACACGTGCCCTATAGCAAAAACCTCTCCAAAAAAAAAGACTGGACACATTTAACATTTAAGGTTGTCGTTCCCACGTTTAGACAGCAGGCCATTAAAGGAGCTTCAGGTGACACTTCTGAGAACCTGACACCCAAGAGAGCGCTCAGCCCCTTCCCCATGCCCTGGCCCACCTCCCGGCTCCCTAAGATTGGGGTTTTCCCCCTCCATCTGGGGAGCTTCTGCTCTGGAGGTGGGGACTGGACATACTGGACACAGCCGTATCCCGACTCTTGCAGGTCTGTTTCCCAGAACTCCTCGGTGCTGCAGGAAGAGGAGGATGAACGGTCCTGCAGTGAGTCAGAGTCACCGCTCTCTCAGAGACCTTCAGCTCCGCACCTCGGAGAAATAACCGGCCCCCACCCCCACCCCCTGCCCCTCTCCCGGGTCTTAGACTCCACATGCTTCCCTCCTAGCTGCAAGGCTCTTGGGGTCCGCCTGCTCTCCCCACTCAGCAGGCCCCTCCCAGCACCCTCTGAGGTGGTGGGAGAGGTCCCGTTAGGCTGTTCATTCAGCAAGGCGTCCAGCCGACTCCCCACCAGGCGCTCTCCTGTGCGGGGAGCAGCAGTGAGGAAGCAGGCCCTCCCTTGTGGCCCCTTGAGTCTTGCTGGCTGGGTGAAAACAAGAAGAGTGCATGTCGATGGCTCTGTGGGTCAGGATGTGGGGGGGAGGGGTGGTGACAAGGCAAGAAGTGGGCCTGCCAGCTTTAAAAGGGCCCAGGAGCAGAGCTGGAGGGAGGTGAGCGTGGGAAGTCATGAGAGAAGGCTCTCGGCCAGGAGCAGAGAGTGTAAAGCCCTGAGGGGTGTGCCAGCACTTCTGTGGGGTGAGGAGACTGGGGTTTTTCACCCTGTGTGTCCCTGACGGGACTCACTGTGCCCCTGCTGACTGTAGGGCACTGAGCAGGGCATCGTGGGCATACACAGATAACAAAGTGGCCCTGTCTGCGACCAGCAGTTGGCGTAATAGTTATGTCACTGGACTTCCATGTAGTCGATCATGGTTCGAGTCCCAGACCTGGTGCTTAAACTCACACTGGGCGCATGTGCGTGTATGCCCAAGATCCCGAGAGGAGAATGGAGGACAAGGGATTGTGGCATGGCCATCCCCCCGGAGGGTGATTTCTTGCTTTCTGTCTCTCTTTCTGGCGAGTGCATGTGGCCTATAGCAAAAACCTCTCAAAAGAAAAAAAAAAAAAAAAAAAAAAGTGGCACAGTGCTCAGGAGCTCAGCTAGCAGCCCATCACACAGAATAGCCCATGCTGGCACACCGCTGGTGCTCAGTGGGCATTTACTGACAGAACGGGTGAGTGAATTTAAGCATAGAAAAGCTGAGCCAGCAGGTAGCATGGTGGCTAAGGCACTGGGTCCCACACAGCCGACTGTGCGATTCAAGTCTCCGACCCAGCAGCTTAAACACACCAGGCATGTGTGCGTGCATGCCCCAAATCCCAAGGAGTGAGTGAGGAGAAGGGATTGTGGTGTGGTCATCCCCACAGTGGGTGATTTCTCCCTTTCCGTCTTTCTCTATCCCTCTCTGTCCAGCAAACACACACCCTATAGCAAACTTAAAAAAAAAAAAAATGAGGTGAGCCCAGATCAGAGACAATAGTGTGGTGATGGGCAAGGGCCTTGTAAGTGGAGGAAGTCAGAGGGAGGGTAACAAGAGGAGCATTTGAGCTGAGTCTGGAAGTTTCTTAGCCACAATGAGAAACGTCCAGATGGAGGGCAGGGTCCATGCAGAGGCGGGGGACTGGGTGGCAAGGAGTGTGTGGCCCGGTGAGACAGCTGGCAGGCCGGGCCAGGAAACGGCCTCAGGACCCCAGGCCGAGGGTAGGGGAGCAGCTGAACTAAGGTATCAGAAGACCCAGGAAAAGGAGAGGACCTCGGAGACAGCCAGGGCAGTGAGGCCGTGTGCCCAGGTGCTGGGCAGGGGCAGCAGGTCAGGGAGCAGGGGTAGTCTTTGCTGAAGAGGACGGAGCTGGAACGGCGCCTGGAGAGACCCCTGCTCTGAGGCCGCAGCAGGTTTGTGTGCTTCTCCTTCAGAAGGAAAACAGTGCATAGTCCTGGGGAATCCTGGGGTGTCCCCATGTCACAGCTGCTGGGTGACCCATGTCACCTGAGCTGCAGTCTTTGTGTGCCCCAGCAGATGCTGGGCCTCGGGCAGGAGGCGCTGACTGAAGCCAGCGCCTCCCCTGGGAGACGTTCCGTGCAGGAGAGGAGTGATGTGGGGAGGAGCTGGCCCTGCTCTGTACATGCTCAAGCCCGCCGTGGAGTCCACTTTCCTCCCCCCCAAGACCCTGCCCTGGCCCTTCCTCCAGGGGTGGACATGCTAACTCCACGCCATGTCCCCCGCACCCCCCAGGAGTGTGGCGTAACTCCAGAAAGTGAGAATCTCACCTTGTCATCATCGGGAGCCGTTGACCAGTCATCCTGTACGGGGACACCTCTCTCCTCCACGATCTCCTCCCCAGAAGGTACAGGAGGGAGCAGGGAGCAGCTCTTCTCTCCCCCAGCCACAGCTGTCCTGTTTCCTGAGGCTGCCTGGGAAGCAGCATTTGTCCCTGAGCTCCATGAGGGGAGGGGACAGCTCCCTGCAGGCCCTGAGGCTCCCCTCACACCATAACCCTGGGCCCTGCAGTTGCGCTCTGAGCTCTAGAATAGAAAGGAAAACCTTAACTATAACACCCTTTTGGGGATGGGGGGGCAAGATAAAGCCACAGTCCTCCCTGCTGGAGTGCAGAAGCTGAGTGCAGAAGCCAAGCCTGACTTGTCTCCTCCCGCCTCCTCTGCCTGCAGATCCTGCCAGCAGCAGCCTGGCCCAGTCTGTCATGTCCATGGCCTCATCCCAGATCAGCACCGACACTGTCTCTTCCATGTCTGGCTCCTATATCGCCCCTGGCACTGAGGAGGAAGGAGAAGCGCCCCCTTCCCCCCAGGCTGCCAGCAGGGCCCCCTCAGAAGAAGGCGAGGTAAGGGCAGAGTACAGGAACGCCCCGGCTTCTCTGGTTCATGCAGTGGCCAAATAAGCCTAACGAGGCTGCTGGGTTGCTGGGAAAGCAGGCACCCGAGGGCTGGCTCTTCTATCTGGCCCAGTTTTGTGCTTAAGTGGCTTGAGCCTGGGCTTGGACCTGGGCTTGGGCTTAGACCCGGGCTCAGGCTTTGGCTTGTTCCTGAGCTCGGGCTTGTCGTCAGGAGAGCTTGGCAGGAGGGCCTGCGCTGACTGCTCGTGGTCTGTGTTGCTCTTGCAGGGGGCTCCAGCCGAGTCTCCAGATAGCAGCTTTGCTGGCCTCCCAGCAGGAGAGCAGGATGCAGAGGTAACCCCACCGGCAGGGCAGGCAGAGGTGTCCCTTTACACAAGACAGGGAGGCCTTCCTGCTGGCACAGCTTGGAGTGGGGTGTGGGTAGGCGAAGGCAGCCATACGCTCTGGCCCATGGCTGTCCAGGAAAGGGGCGCCCTGGTCCCAGTGTGATGAGTGTGGAGGGAGTTCACAAGGGACTGCTCATGCCAGCCCCTGGACCCAGAGAGTGTGTTGTCCTTCACACATCCAGTGAGTGTACGCGGGGTGATGGTCACAGGTGCTCCCTGCACCAGGCACACCCAGACCTGAGTGACAAGTTTCTGCCTGTCCCCGCACACCAGCCCCATCTGGGAGCCCCATCCAGGGGTGCAGGGTTACTGTTCAGGTGACGGGTGCCTACCGCGGAGTGTGGAGCGCTGCGGGCAGGGCTCCCACAGCAAGGGCGCTGAAATGTCCCTCGAGCCACACTCTCTGGAGAACTGGGTAGGACTTGAGATCCGCAGGGATTCCTGAAGGTTTTATAATTTAACAATTTGCTTTCTTATTTGACACTTTTATTTCTACCTTAGAGGAACAGTGTCAGCTAAGCTATTAATAGGGGAATTCTGGACAGACCATTCCAGACGTCATGGTCTATGCTGTGGCTCTGCCTGGTTCCTATAGGCCCATGGTGCCTTGTCTAGCAAAACCTGCCTCTGACGTGGCCTTACAGGCAGTCAGTGTGGACAGGAAGCGCACTGGTGTAGGCCCTGCTGTTGAGATTTGGGGCGATGAGTCTGTCTTCAGCTCATGGATTCTTTTACTTTATGGACTCATCAGCCTTCGTCTCTCCTAGGGAAATGACGTTATGGAGGAAGACGATGGATCACCCACGCAAGAAGATGGTAAACGACCTGGTCTTTTGCTCCCCCTGCTGCGTTTTTTTTCCTGGGTAGCCTCGCAAGGGTAAAGAAAGGGGTACTGGTGTGACCTGCTGCACTGCTCAGTTGTGTGGCTGTTGGGGACAGGTTGTCTTCTGGATAGCATATCAAAGCAAGCAGGGTCTCCCGTGACCTCAGGGACCTTCCCAGCGCTCTCTGGGTCTGAGAGCCATGGCTGTCAGGATGAGGCTGGGCAGAAGACGCAGGCAGCGCTACACACACAGGTCGCCGATGCAAAGCCTCTGGGATCTGCCTCGGTGTGGAGCAGCTTCCTGCTGCTCAGAGAGCTGCCGCAGCCCTGGCAATAATGGCGCTGGCAGGTTCCTCCTGGGAGGAAGGACTACCCGCAACCGGTCAGGTTTTGCTTTGGAGAAGAAAATAGTTGACATTACTGTAAAAGAGGGATCTCCAGAGCCCCCCGACACATCACGTGTCTTCAGCTCAGCCTCCGCAAGCCGTTCCGGGCTGTCACAGCGATTTCCTTTGCCATAAGTCAGACCTTAATTGGGTCTTCTGTCGGAAGAGTTCTGTTACAGAGCTAGGAGGTAGGAAGAAGGGGGGCTGGAAACATCACCCCTGAGCGGCAGGTACCATGTGTTCCAGGAGCCAGAGTTCCCCTGCTGCTCAGGGCGCCTTGCACAGAGGCCGCCCCCAAGCACACGCGTGCCCTGGCCGAGACGCAGACGTGCCAGTGGTTGTCATCCTGGCTGCTTCTGCTTTAGCGCTGGCCATTGCTTGGGGAGCGTCAGGGATGCATGTGGCCTTGACGCTCCTGCCTAGCCCAGGAGCCCGGAGAAGAGGATGGCACCAAGGCAGGGCCTCCCTCGCGCTGTCACACAGCAGCCACAGACTTTGGAGCCCCGCAGCCTAGTAGATGGTTTTAGTGCTGGAAAGACTTACCCTTTGCAATGGTTTCCTGGTAGACTATTTGCTTCTAAAAAGTGCAGAGTGGCCAGGTCATTCGGCCCAATGTTCCATAGCCCCCACAGTGGATTCGTGTTTTCTTCTCTGCCTCTCACAAAAGAAAAGGGGTGAGCAGGGCCAGCGGTTGGCATAATGGCTATGTCACTGGACTTTCATGTAGTCCACCACGGTTCGTGTCCCGGACCCGGTGGCTTAAACTCAGGCTGGGCGCATGTATGTGGATGCCCAAGATCCCGAGAGGAGAATGGAAGAGAAGGGATTGCAGCGTGGCCATCCTCCCTGGCGGGTGATTTCTCGCTTTCTGTCTGTCTCTCTCTGTCTTTCTGGCGAGCGCACACGCTCTATAGCAAAATTACTCTCCAAAAAAAAAGAAAAGGGGTGAGTTTAAAAACGAACTTCTAAACCTTTTTGTGAATTCTGATCTGATAATGCAAAATTCTGGCATGTAAGGCCTTTAGTTGTTCTTTTATGTATTTTTCATTTTGAAGAGCCCTGTGTTCACACACATTCCCAACTCTCACCCAATACCGATGCAGGAGTGAGTGGGGGTGACTGCCCCGCTGGCTTCTCCAGCTTCTGCTGTCCACGGTGTCATCAGCCTTGCCTCTGCCAGGGCTCTCTGTCCAGCCTGCAACCCCAGTGACCACCCTTCAGGGAACACAGATGGGAAGGCATTACGTAGCAAGACGAGAAGATAGCGCAGAAGCACAGACACGCCCACACAGCTAGTCCTTGTCCACTCTTTACGCACTTAATGATTGTCTTTCTTTTAACATATTATTTGATTTTTTTTGTCTCCATCCTTAAGATTTTTATTTTAAGGACAGCAAAGCAGAGAAAACCCCAGCCAGCCCCTCTCTAACTGCGTTAACTCGTTACAGGCCAGAGGACATGCGCATTTCTAGGTATGGAGTGTGACAATAACAATGACTTTGACATCGCAAGCGTGAAAGCACTGGACAATAAGCTGTGCTCTGAGGTCTGCTTCCCCGGTGAGTGGCAGTCTGCTGAACATGAACTTGCCCTTGCCCTGCTCTCACCCCGCTGCCCCATCTCCTGCCCTGCGGTCTCTGCCAAGGCAGCCTGGGGCGTGCTAAGATGTTGGAGACCTTTGCTGAAAGGAAACCAGGCGGCCTTGAGAGAAGCCTTGAGCTTTTTGCAAAGAAGGGCCACTGCTCTGTGTGAGAAGCCTGGGCTAGGAAGACAGCAGACAGGCCTCTCTTTCCGAGTTGGCCTCACCATGCCCCCTCTACCACTGCCTTGCAGACACGGCTGGTGGCCTGGTCTTGCTTTCATCAACAGGAAGTTTGAGCAGACAAACACCTCTCTACGAAGCCTTGGGAAGATAGCCTGAGCCCCTTAGACATGAAACCATAGCTCCTCGGGAGAAATGTGAACTGAAAAGCCAGCGTTTTATAGGCGAGCGAGTGGCTCTGTCATCCAGCGAGCTCTGGGGTGCCAGTTGTATTGTTCATATTAGATTTGGATCCCAGAGGAGAGTTTAGGGGTTGGGGTGGAGCCTTAGCTTGTGATCAATATGGTCAGTGTGCCCCTTATCCCTTCTCGTGATGCTAAACTGAACCTAGGCAATGTTCCTACAAGAAACCGTGTTAATCACACTTGGAGCCCTGACCTTCCATCCCACGTGCTTATTCAAGGGCCCCAAGAACCACTTCTCTGAAAAACCAAGTGTTTCTAAAAAAGAAAAAAAAAGTGCTTCCTAGCAGACTCCATCAAATGTCCCTTCCTGGTTTCCCTCCAGAGATTGTCCTTCATGTGGTGCGTTGTGTAGTCCCCTTAAATGTTCCCTGAAAGAAGAGTGACTTCAACATCAGAACAGCCACGTCATGGTCCAGTGCTTTACTCGCTCAGCGAAGTATGGAGTGGCCTCCTGTGGTGACCACCCTCCACCAGCCTGTGTCGACACAGTGCCGGCACACTCTGGTCCCGCGCGAGTGCGTAGCGGGGAAGCCAGAGTTCACGGGAGACACTTTCTCCAGCCTCACAAAGGACTCTTTGGTCATTTTCTACTTAGTATGTCCTGATGGCACTGCACAGATCTCGTCACCCGCCATGGGGCCAGGCGAGGCTGTGGCAGAGCACCTGCTTCCTCTGCGCAGCCCAGGAAGCCCCCTTCTTGCCTGAGTCCAGAGGAAGGAGCAGTGACCACGTGGCTGCTGGGGCCCAAGGCCCACTTCACTCCCTCCCCCGACCCCTGACCTGGCTTCCGTCTGTCCATTTGTGTCTCACGTCTTTTTGCCAAACGTATATGTGTCTGTCAAAAAGAAAAAAAAAAGAGTAAATACTTGTTATTCTTTTTTTTTAATGTGTCTGTCCACGTTGTTTATTTTTTACACTCATTTCTGTTACCTCGACTTCGTATGAAAGTTCATGTTCACTCCGTGCCAACACTGCCCCTGCCCGTGCCTGGCCTGGCACCATTGGCTGGTGTGCTCATACCCCAGCCTCATGCCCCTGACTGGCAGGAGCCCACATGCCACAGACCACGACTTCCTAAGAAGACGTACGTGCGAGAGTGTACTGACTTCTACCCACCGGTGAGACTGCTTCTGCAGCAGGGTCGCAGGCAGGGTTAGGGTTCTCCTTGGCGTCCTCAGTCGGTAGCAGACGGAGATGCTCTCTCCCCCAGCTCTGCCTGGCGTCTGGCAGCTCTGAAGCACTGTCCTCACTGGGCTGCAGGAGAGAAACCTGGGTTCCTGCCTGCCTCGAGGGCCTCCCTTTCCTGCCCGGCCCTGTTTGCAGAGGGAGCTGCTGGGAACCATTTCAGCCAGCAGCGCTGGTGGAAACGGCTTGTTCCTTCGGCTTCCTCCTCCTGACGCCCTTCAGCCAGCCTGCTTGTCGACGTTTATTCCACTATGGATCTCGAGGGGCTAGAACTGGAAGGAGAAAGCACCTGGGCCTCCTTAAATCGAGTTCACACCTTGGGCCAGACCTGAAACCAAAGGCCTGTGAGGCTCCGGGCACACACCTGGGCGAGGACCCAGGTCCTCACCAGAGGTCTCACAGGCTCCCACCAGAGAGGGGCAGTGCATCTGCTCCCATGGCAAGCGCTTCTCTGGTTCTGCTGTCAGCCTCACGCTGGGAGCAGGTGTTGGGGAACTCTCTGGAAGGGTTTGTTGGATTACAGATAGGAGCGTCCACTTTGGTGGGTCCCGTGGAATAAATAGGCTATTCGCGCTCGGCTGTGCATCTAGGTGCCCGTCTGTCGCGAGCCGCCCTGGGCTGGTTTGGCTCCCCCTTCCCACGGCCAGCTTTTCCTACACCTGACCTCTGCTTGAGTCTGTTCCCCTCTCCAAGCAGATGCCACTCCCTTCACAGAGGGCCGCTGGGAAGCAGAGCCGAGGAACATCCCGCGCACTCCCATGCCCTGCGCCATGCCCATACCCTGTGCCAGAGACCCAGCTGGTGGGAGAGCCTTGCCACGGTGCCAGGGTCATTCCAGCCCCTCTTCCCCTAAGAAGCATCAGGTCTCAGGCGCCAGGGCTGAGCGTGAATTCCCGGCTGCTCACCCGGGGGGTGGCATGTTCCAGATTGCTTTGGAAAGGTGCTTAGAGGGAGTCTAGGTTGGCATGTTAGATGGTAAGTGGAGGGGGCCTGCGAGACCGTGCTGAGGGACGTGGCAGAAGGTCACATGGTGAGAGTGATCAGAGGCCGGGGCCTCCTGTGGCAAGGCCCTGGGTGTGTGTGGTGGGGAGAGGCGAAGACAGCTGGGGGTGTCTCAGTGGAGACAGCTTTCAAACAACTGCACAGGAGGGGCGTGTCCACAAAACCAACAGACACTGATGGGCCGGAAATACCGCTCACTCCTCTCCTCACGCTGCACCCCAGGGCTGGTGCTGCCAGGAAGGCTGGCGCTTCGGACACGAAGAAAGCCCGGTTCTGTTTCTCTTCCCGAGAGAGACAGCAGAGACGATGGCACCTGTAGCCCTGAGGCAGGGTGAGGCCCGACGGGCATGGCAGGCAGAACCTCCCCAGGGTGCTCCCACGACCTACTCTAGAGGTCTCATGCTCCCAGTGGCCCCCAAACCCGGCGTGGGATGGGAAGCACGTCGCCACCTCCCTTGAAAGACTATGTCTCTGAGCTCTGCTTCTGCCTCAAAGGGCCTGCTCAGAAGGGCCTCCTCGCTCCCCTCTGCTGGCTGCTGCCGGGCTGGCCATCAGCGCGGACAAGGATGTGGCCCGCGGAGTCCTCGCCAGGGCGCCCCGTCCTTGCCATGACAGTTTCCCTTCCCACAGTGGCACAGGGAGAACGGGGACTTCAGATCTGAGTCTCGAGTCTGTTCCTCAAGGACCTGCTTTCTAGCTCAGGCTTCTAGAACGGTGGGGTCTGGAGCCAGGACTCCTGCGGATTCCGAGCGGCAGTGCTCCGGGCAGCCTCCCGGGGCAGTGTGTCCTGCTGCGCGGGCAGTGGCCTGGTGCTGGCGTCGTGGCTGCTACTGGATTTTGTGCGTGCGTGTGTGTCTTCTCTCTCGTTTACCATTTACTTCTGGTCTTTCCCGCTGAACAGCCGCAGTTCCGGAGTCCTGCCCCATAAACCTTGAGGACTAGGTATGAGACCCGGCAATTACACAAACGAACAGCCACTCATTCTATCTGGGGTTCCCGACTTAAAAGGCCACATTGCCGTGTATCCATCCTGCCACCCCTAGACTTAGTGCCACCTCAGGGGACAAAGCAGCTCGGATTCATGCCCACCCTGGAGAGTAAAGATGGCAAGCTCGCGGTGGGTGTGGAAGCGACCTAAGACTCTCCGCCCCCGGAGACCACCATTAGGGAAAATGGCCACAGTGAGACCTTTATGGGAAATAGCAGGTGAACTGTTCGGTCCTGGAGTTGTTAAAGGACTTCCTTCTCAGGCTGGCCCTGGACATCTGTGAGTGGCCTCCCACGCCTATAGTTGGTGGGCCCTGTCCACTGGGCGAGGGCTCTGAGCCGGATCAGGCTCTGTGCTGGGTTCGGGGGTTTCACCGTGACCAAGCCACGGCCCTGCCCCAGGAGTGGACCGTCTAACGGCGTTAAATGGTGCCATTGCGCAGTGAGAAGTGGGCTGCTAGTTCAGGGTTAGGGGAGGCTTTCAGTTCACCTCATCCTCGGGGAGGGCCCCTGAGGGGAGGGCTGCTGGGACCAGGAGCCCTCACAACAGAGCTTCATCTCGAGGCCCCGCCCTCCCTCAGAAGGAGCGCCAGCCACTACCCGCTGGTGCCAGGCCAGCAGGGGAGATGTGACATGAGCGTAGTGTGGCCTGAACAAGGTCTTGGGCCGGGGACTGAGCTGAGCCCGTTCTATGAGTCGAGAGCTCGGCTCAGCACGCTCCTGTCATCCGCTTCCTCCTCATGGCAAACCTTCCAGGCTGGTGCTCGGTTTGCAGTAGTGACACACGCACTCAAGGTCACCGGTCAGTGCCTTGTGAGCCTGGAGCAAGGCCGGGGCATGGCTACCCTGAGACATTACTGGGACACGCGCAGACAGGCAGCGTGACAGGAGGGGTGCGAGCACAGAGGGAGACATGCTGGGGCTGGTCTTTCACATGGGTAGGGAGCGCCCTTGTGCAGGGGAATGAGTTTACTGGGTGCTGCCTATGGGACCCGAGGCTCTCAGACTGGGGTCTCCTCAGTGATGGCACCGGATGACAATAACCTCAGCCTACTGCTGGAGCAGAGGAGGTCCAGGGCCACAGACGCGGGCGCTGCTCTGTCCCTGCCCCCGTGGGGCAGCGGGCCTTCCTACCCCCTCCACCCCCCAGGAAGCCCTAACACCAGCCTGAGTAAGCAGACTCTTCTCACCCACCCCCAATTCTTCCTGCCCTGATAAAAAGCACAGCTTGCTCTCTCCCTCCTTGTCCATGCTAACAGGCGAACTCCAAAACCAGGGTACAGATACAAAAGTGGATCCTAGGATGAGGTCACAAAGCAAGGAACACCTCTGTGTCCCTCTCTGGGCCACAGGGGCAGAGACCGTGACACACACCCCCACCCACCCCCGCCCCCCGGGAGCAGGAGCAGCCCTGCCCTGCAGGCACCCACTTCTCCTGGTCCTTTCCCGGCCGCTGTGGCTTCCAGGCTCAGGAGTTTCGGGAGCAGGCATCCTGCTAGCTTCAGAGCTGCACCCCGGGCTTCCCCGCTGGAGACAACCATCTGGATTTGGCCAGAGGCCCGGCTACTGTAACCTTCCTTTCTCCTCCCCAGGTACCTGGCAGGCTGATGACAACGCTGTCAGTCGTCGGAACACCCAGCGTCGGCGCTTGTCATCCGGCAGCCTGGAGGACCCTGAGAACAGGCCCTGCGTGTGGGGTCCCCTGGCTGTCTGAGAGCCCCAGCCCGCACCAGCCCCGTCTGTACTCGCATTCCATCCGCCGTCCTCACTGCACTACTGCAAGACACGTGCAGACCTTTTACACTCACCGAGAAAGCCCAACGTGGTGTTCAGCCTGCTCCTTCTCCCCACCTTGTCAGCCATAACCGTGACCCATCCCTGGGGGGAGGCCCTCCTTCCTCCTTGGGCTGATGCCACTCAGATGGCCGCTCATGCAGCCTTCGCACTCCCCGGGAGGTTTCTGCAGACTCGGCCTTCGGTGGAGCTGCGCCCACTGGCTAGTTGTTGCTTAGGTCCCATTGTCCTACGGGGCAGACCGGGAAGACTCGAGGTTCCAGGCCTTGCTCCCACCGCCCCGTCTGGCATCATCTGGTCTCTGGCACGTCATAACCAGCTTTAAACCTCGAAGCTGGGGTGGGGCTGCCGAGGGCTCCTGCAAGAAGGGAAGAAAGCCACATGGCTGGATGTGTGGTTTCCCTCCGAGGGCATTAGGAGCCCCTTTCTCGAGGACAAGGGAAA